CAATGATGCCATAAAACGATTTATATTCAGTCAGTTGGTTACAACTTTGTATGCACACATTCATACATACATATATATAAGAATCGAACTTTCTTAAAGTTATTTAAAAGTTTTAAACCCACAACACCAATTTGGATATACATACATATATTTATAGATAAATACATATGGAAGATGTTGCAAATTAAAGTGCATTTTGTGTTGGACATATTTAAAGCATTGAAAAGAACAATCGTCTCTCTCTGTCTTTTATTTGGTGCAGGCTTACGCTAGCACAATTGAGTCCAAAGACAGGCGTTTTTTCACCGAGGCGTATTCATGAAAATGCCTGCACGAGAACAGCATTTACCTTGTAATAATGCACAATTTTAATAATAGTAAATAAGATAATTTCCTTAAATATTAAATATTATCTTTTATTGCTACCCCCTGCGGGTTAGGGGCTCAAGAATTTACCCGCGGTAAGGCATGCCTGTCGTAAGAGGCGACTAAAATCCAATAGTTCCCGCGACAGTCGGGTCTTTATACCGGAACGACCCGGATTTTTATCCGGCCAAGGACTGTCACTCACGCAACATTCCCCAAAAAGTACTTTGGGGAATAATTTTGCGGTTACAACAACAACAACAACATCTTTTATTGCTTACATCTTTTCCATCAAAAGCGATTGTTTTGTAATAAAAGTATTTCATTCCGAGTTGATGGTGTCAATAAAAAAATGCGAAGGAGTCTGACAACACCAATTTATTTTAAAATATCATTACAATTTTATTAAACCCCAAGTTTAACTCAGCTACAGCTATGGACAACGATTTAGCGCGCTAGTTCATTGTAGGAAAGAATGCTCAATAATCTTATATTCTCTCTCTCTCACTACTGATCCAGGTATTTACAAGAAAGTATTTCAAGAAACTGTCTCTCCATTTAAAACTAATCACTGAAATTTTCTATATACATTTGGGTCAAAAAGCTGCGATGGAACATCTTTTGCAGTGGTCCTTGAATATGGGGAACTACAATAATATTAAATGGTATTTACTAGAACAAGCATCATCAGTTGCAGCTGAAGTTCAAGCTGTCCTAAGCGAATGCCAATAATTTAAATAAATAAATAAGTTTGTTATCTGCACTGATAAAAAAAAAAAACAATTTTAAAGGGAGTTCGTAACCTTAATAATAACTCAGAAGAGATCAGTATCATTAGATCCCTACTAATTAATTTAAAAAAAAGTCAAACTAATGTGGATACCAGGCCATGTCGGATTCGAGGAAACGAAATATCAGATAAATCAGCAAAAACTGCACCATCGTCACCTCTTCAGCTTTTCATTTCATTTATGAAAAACGAAACAGAAATGAGATACTTCAGGAATTTCTCAAAAATACACAAATTAAATGGAACAGTGAGATCAGTCAGTACAAAAGTATTAACCCAAACAAAGTCGCATCAATACTACTTACTGCAACCACCACTGCAATGAACAAATGCTTTGTTCACATTGTCTTATACATCTTCACTTGATGAAGAAGAAGTCACAAAGTGAAATTTTTGCACTTCATTCCTATTAACAATTACCCCAATCCTGGAAGAATGCCCATCTCTAAACCGTTATCGATCAAAAATTTTCCTTCAAGATACTTTAACCATGTTATCCACACAAAAATGAAGACAATATCAAAAACATTTTCAACTTTTTAAAGCTACTGAATATTCATAAATTAATTTAAGATATTTATTATATATAACGAAATTAACCGATAGCCCTAGTAGCTAGCGTTTCCAATTAATTGTAATTTTCAATTATAATAAATAATGAATAATAAATAATAATTATAATAATAATAAATATAATATTATTATTATTATTATATTTAATAATGCTGTACAACACTATTAATTCATTAGACTCTGGAATAACTTAATTTAGATAAATCATTTAGTGAGATTTGGACAAAATTTACTTTGGACAAGCATTTAGCGCACTTTGATCGACCAGTAAAAAAAATAAATATTTATAAAGAATTTAGTAAAATTCATTGATATTATTATTTATCTGATTAATACTTTGTTGAGTAACCCCTATTTGTTATTGTTGTTTCACAAACAGGCATGTGGTGTAAACTTTCTATTAACTTGTGAAACCTGTCCAAAGGTATAGAGTTCCGCGCTTCCTAAACTAATGCCCAAAGTAATTTTTAATATTTTTTGTCAAAATTTAGTTTTGTTTCAGGACGGAACTTTGAGTTGGCCAATCAAGAACTGCAATTTTTCTTGCGACTGCTGGTTTTTAAGCACATTTGTTGTATGCTTCAGATCGTTATGGTGCATAAAGAACCAGTTAAGTGGCACAATTTCAAAAGTACAATATATGGCTCCTAAGTATTTGAAGATATGCAAATTTAATAAGATTTCCTCCTATCTTAACCAATGCTGCAACATCGTGCACGTAAAAGATCTCCAAAAATTTTTTTTCTACAGAAGTGTGTTTTTCTGCTGACACGTCCCTACAAATTATTTTCATTCAGACGTTTACTTGACGCATTTAAGCCCAATTCCGAGTTGACTTCGTCCATTATTGTGCGTGCAGATTTAAGTGGATCCGATTTACTCTTCCGGGAAATTATTTTATCCTCGCGGGGAGTTATTTTGCGAACCGGAGCTTTAAGAACTTTGTTATGAGCTAACAAATTAGGATCACTATTAACTTTCCTGAGAGCATAGTACAACATTTTCTTGGTACAATTTAATATTTTGGAAATTTTTGTTTGTACCTTTTTGTAAAGATCCCAAATAAGCTTTCTTTTTTCAATAGCACAGTAGCTCCTCTTGCCAATTTGTTAAAATATTTAAAAAAATAATATTTATTTCTTTAAAATTCACAACAGTACTCAATTATTTGTCCACCCAATGGCGAGTGATAACAGAAGGCACACATACATGTGAGTGCGCTAAATGGTTTTCCAAAAAAATTGCAATGCAATTTAACAAAACCGGAGCAACAACAGCAAAGGAGAAATGATAAAAGACTTTTTTTTAGAATCGGAGGTGATTTTGAGAGTAATAATGACCTAGGAGTACTATTGAGAACTTCATGAAAGTTTTGTTCTCAGAAAAGTAACTGTAATTTTTCAAACTAAATATGATTACTAGTACGCTAAAACTCTGTCCATAGCTGTATATACATACAATACAATGGGAATGAGCGCGCAACAGTACGTAAAATGAAAAAGTCGCATTTTAAACTTTCTTCATATAATTAAACAAATCACCTATTTTTACATACATACACGTATGTACATTAGGTTGGCCCTTAGTTGTATGGGAGATTGAAAAAGTGTTTCTATTCTCGGTATTATCCCATGGAAATGTGCGAATATACTAAATTAAATTAATTAAAATTAAATTATACTAGGTTTAAGGTCAATCATAAAGGATTTACAAATGGCTCACTGCGTGTTACCTTTCTCTATTTTTAGCTTTCCAAATTATTAATATTATTATGGGAATCTCTTTATTCATAGTATATACAAATCCTAGAGATTCTTGTCTTTCAAATATAACTAAAATGACTCAAATCAGGCGCTTAATAATAAAGCTATAATAAACACGAAACAAGTGCTTTAAGCATAAGGCGAATATATGTATGTACTGAGTTTTATTGTTGGTGTTTTTATTAATAAAACGGATATTTTAAAGTAATAAACAATATAAATAAATATTGTGTATAAAATATATGTAAATCAAATTTTAATTGATAATAGCTGTCAAGAATATTGTGTGACTCGTGTTTCTTTCTATACTCAGTCAGAGAACGTAAATATAACGAGTAGCAGAGAACGTAAATCTGTCTCTGAAAATTCAAGATGAGTAATTTTTTTTCTTGCATTTTGAGTCGTAATTCCCCTTTATGCAAGTCCATTTAAAGGTTTGTGTTTTCGCTGTTACAAGTTCTCTGCTTTATCGTATTATTAGTGAATAGAAACATAGGTGGCGCCTTAGTTCATACCTGTAGTGAAATTCATGAAACTACCGCCACTAGATGACACTAGTGAAGAAATAAATATAAAATGGTTCTTACTCGCGATGAATACACATTTTGTATTACAACCTGATCTCTTACATTTACGAGCGGGTTAATCAGAGAAAAATTTTCCTAATAAATTGAAACCTCCATTATATTCTTTTAATTATGTCATAAACTCTCTGCTCGTTACCGAAACGAAATGGTATGGTTTCGTCTTGTGTGCCGCTAAATATCGAGAAGTGGTACATTCATTTAACATTTTACATGATCAGACTACATTTTTAAATAACATTAAGTTTTTTTTATGGTACAACTTGGTTGAATTTCCGTACGAATGTATCTATATGACTTGGTAAATGTATATTATTTCTCGAAGACGTAACAGAAACAACATGTGAAATTGAATACTTGCCTCAGATACACATAAAGAATACATTATTTTCCGAAAGGGGATCATAGATCAACATATCGATGGAAATTTTGTACTGTGTTAATATACTCCGGCTGCAGGTTGATTTTAGTTTGACGGAGCTATTTCGTAACATATAAAGCCACAACCAGTAGTTAACTCTTTAAGGTAATAATAAAAATTGAGACTAATCAAAATATGAAATTGCATCTGAAAAACGTACATTCACTAGCGAACTTATAATTCGTTAGGAATAGTAAGATACCTATAGAGGGAAACTTTCGGTTTCTTATTGGTATCTAATGCACTAACAAGAGCGGCAGTCCTATGCCTGCCCTTAAAACACTCATGTACTCAACACGTTACACTCACTTGAGGAGCTCTCACTCTCTCTTCGGTTGTATGTCAACAAAGCCAAAATACCACCAATAACAATTCCTTCTCTTTTTACACGCAGTAGAGGCAGCGACGCGACAGCGCGGCGTAGCAGAACCAACAGCAGAAGCGGTAGCTCCCAATTTGAAAAAATTGTGATGTGATTTTTTTTTGCTGCTAGCGACAGTCAAGTTTTTGCTTCGGCACTGAGCGGACACGGCTTTTTTGGGGAGTAGGTGTGAATTGTGAAATCTTGTTATGTGTGTATGTTTGTAACAAAAAAATTACAGCAACAAGAAGATTAAGTTGTAAATGAATACATTCTAACCAAAAGGAAAAAGTAAACTACGTTAGTATTTACAAAAAAGTAATATCTCATGTATGTGGTGCGCAATTTTGCACGTGTTTTTGCAATATATATACGTACGCATGTAGTTGGAAAAAGGAAAAATTAAGAATTGATTTCTTATTTTTTTGTGGTAATGCAGTTGGCAATAAGCGCGGCCATTTTTTTCTTTGCGTAGTTTTTTGTGACTACTTAAATGTGTGCGTGTTTTTTCGTCTTTCATACGACGTTGTGCCGAAAACAAAGAATGAATGTAGAAGAAGAGTAGACAAAAAATTGAATTGACGGAGGAGTGAAATAATAAAAAACTATTGTGTTTTCCCTCGCAATTTACTTGTATCTGTGCACACTGTAGGTGCTAAGAAAAAAAAGTGGAGTTTTGGAAATAACTACACACAAACATATACGTAAATATTACATCAGTATACACTGGTAGCACATATTTTTGCAAACACTTTACGAAAATCGAAAAGAAAAAATACTAAAAAAACGCAAAAAAAAAGAAATATCTAACGTTTGATTAATAAAAGGGCCATCGTTGGAGTATAAATTTTATTAAAAAGTGGAAGAAGCTTTCTTTTGAAATTGTTGGGATTTTAAATACTCGAGTACTTACAAATGTGTATTGCATTGTGCGTGGTGTGCAATTTGAATTGAGTGAGTGGTTGGTTTCTGCAAAAAATAAAAGAAAAGCGAGAATTGTGCGCTAAAAACGTACCTGAATAAAATAATAACTTGAAATATTATTATCGTACATGTGAGTTTCCAATAAGCGCGGCAACACGTGCTTCCGTACACCAAGAGGTGCCGTCATCAAGCTTTTGCTCCAAAACTCCTATAGGAGGGAGATACTTTTTCGGTAAGTATTTAGCCGAAAATCACATCAGCGGCTACAACGCGTCAAATTACATTTACATACACATACATATGTACATACAAACATATTTTTGTTTTTTTTTTATTATGGTTTGTAAGTTCTCTTTAGAAACAAGAAAAATAAAACGGCGGAAACATAAATTTTTTATAAAATATAACTTATTATTTACCGATATTTGAGCATACATAAGTGCAGTTATAAACATATGCGCTTCTTAATAAGAGGACTTCGGCTTACTTATATTCAATATTTCAAAACTAAATTTATAAAAAAATAAAACAAAAATAAGAAATCTCTAACTTGCGAAAAATAATAATAGTTAGGAGGCTATAAACCCAAACATAAATTACTTAAATTCTTAACTACTAATATAATTGAAATTATATATAATATATTACTTGAAATATATTAAAAGTATTTACCTTACATATTCACTCTTATGTGCATACATATACATACAAACATATGCAAAATCCTAATATTTTTCTAGGTTCCAAAATTGTTTCCACTGAAAGATCAGTGATCATTATTCAGTTTAGTATCCATTTCAGTTCATTTAATGGTATTAAATATAACGTTTTTTTCACTTTCTCTGTTTTAAAATGCATCTAATAAACATATACAAATGCTAAATAGAACAAAACTTTTTATTTTCTTATTTTGTCGAAACATGTAACTGATAGGTATGTAGGTACACGTCAGTGAATATAAACTTGTTGGAAGAATAATTCCTTGGAAATCAGAAAAATAAAATAAACTAAAATGTTTTTGATATTATATTAAAATTACGTTGTTAGTGCAATTGTAGTTGTTTTGCATGAGTTTAAAAAATTCTTAGAAATATCCGTTTCTTGAATCCATCTGGTGAAAAGGGGAAGGGTAAATGTGCCGGACGATTCAATTTTTTCAACTTCATAATAAATTTTCTTTCATACTTTCATACTACAAATTATGTCAAAACTTTTAACTTTCAACTCGTTATCATTAATTAAATGTAAATGACTATTAATTTAAAAGATTATAAAAAATAAACAGTTAACTTATGACGAACACTGGTTTGTAACTGACGTTCCCTTCACAAAAAATGAAATAAAATGGATGGTCGATTTGTAATTATTGCAAACGTTCTGCCCACATCTTAATAAGAATATATATGTCAATGCGTGAGTTGGTATTTTATGGCATCGAAATACCTGATCTAATTATTCACCTTATCCTGATGCCTGAGAGTAATACGTCACCTTTTTATGTGCAATTTGTCTAGAGACCGTCGATAAACCGCGGAGCCGGCCAAATATGAAAATCTTAAGGATGGAATATATATATAGAATACCTCAACCGTTTTAAGAACGACATAAATATTTAGTAACAGTTAATAAATTAATTTTCCCTCATATATATATGTATGTATGTATTGAATTAAATGTTAACTATAACATACAGAATAATGGAGCAGAAGGTTGTTCGGACAATGGTGAGATATTTTATCCCATACATTTCCAGTTACTGAACACACTGACCGTAGTTAAAAATAAACATCATTTTCAATAAATTAACCGTTCAATAGAATTTGTCAAAAGATAAAATAAATGAATAAATAAATAAGTTATAATTCTTTGTTTAAAAAACTCTCCTCTCACACTGACAACTAAAAAACAACTCAACTCTCAAGCTTCTCTATGCCCACCAAGTAAATTATTTTAAGCAAAGATTTCAATAAAATGACATAAAATGATACTTTTTATATTATATTATAAATTAATACCTGCTTCCCATTGATTTTCTTATATAAAAACATTAACAGTTTTCTTATAAAGAAAAAAAAAAATAGTAACCGTTCAATAGCACACTTACCCTACATACAGAGGGAAATTTCATTCATTGATGATTAGAATTATTGCAATACTCACTCTGTAGTCTTAGCTGGTAAAGTCATATACATATCTACAAATCTATATCTAATAAATATAATTTTAAAAAACAGAAAAAGTTAATAATTTTTTTGAGTACCTACCTGTGGACGTACATAAGTACCTTTGCATACATATATGTGTACATATGTATGCGTGTACATTTATTAGTTCTAGCTAGATCCCTTTTGTTAATTGCTAACTCATATCAATTTTTACACGCGCCATGTCCATATTTATATATGTATGTACATACATGTATGTATGTATGTAGGTATGCATATGCGGCTTTGTTGGTTTTCCCTCTCCCCACTATCGCATCAACACAATCAAAAATGCTAATCAGCAAAATACATATACACAAACATACATATATACATAAGTATGTGTATTTCCAAAATTAGCAATTCGCAATATTTTATTACACACAACGCAACGAGAAACGCACATCGTTTCAAAACAAACACAAATTTATTTAAACTTACATACACATGTAGATTGAAAAATATTAAAAACAAAAATTGAAAAAAAGACATCGTGCAAAGTTTAACAGCGCACTTTCATTCATTTTGTCAGTTGCCTTCTTTTTTTTTGTTCACTTATGCTATTTCAACGCTTACAGTTCTCCGAGTGAAGTCACCCATACATACGGATGTATGTGCCAACCTTCCTTTCCACCGCCACCATTTGCCCATCATTCATCATTCAATTGCATGTCCGCCCATTGCGCTGCCATCGAATATTCCTCACTCGTATTTTTTCAGTTTTCGTTCACACATTTTGTTTTGCATAATTTTATTCGCTCATTCAATTTTCTTCTAACCACTTTTATTTGTATTTTTTGCGCTTACCCTATGTTCTTTTTTTCTACAACTTTGTTCTCGGAGCTTACACTAGTATAAATTTACATTTTCCTTTTTCGCACCTACTCGCCTTCCACTGCTCTGTGTAATTTTTTATTGTTCATTCACTCGCTCTTTCGCCGTATCTCTCTCTCAGTGGCTGTCCACTTGGCGCTCCCTCACAATGCGACGGCGAACGCTCTGCCAGAAACAAGAGAGCTGATGCGTCGTGCTGCTTTCCTGCGCCTCGTGGTTTGTTTACACATGTGTTTGGAATTAAGCGCGCAATTCTGCTTTATTGACTGTTTTTTTTTCCATTGTTTGTCGTTTGTTTCTGTCCACTTCTTGGCGTCTCTGCTGAGGCGCAACAATGCAGTTAATAAGTCGTCGCAGTCGAAACGTTCGTACGACGCTATTTTTTGTATGTATACCATTTTTTATGAGTTGTGTTTTTAGTGAAGTGTTGGTAGCGTGTTGGTGCTGGCTTCGTTTTTTCTGTTCTTTCGTATTTTTTCGGTACGTAGGTGGAAGAAATTAACGTATATATGTATGTACATATATGCATATACTTACTTCCATATATTGTATGTATGTATGTATTATCTTTCTTGGCACAGTGGTAATGATTTAATTTTTTTGACGATTTGGAGAGTTTCGTATGTTTTATTATGGTTAAATGATTTTGTAAATTGAATTGTTAGGAAATCTTAACATACATATGTACAAGTGTTTATTTATAATTGAGGCCATTTAGCCGCTGAAGGGATTTTCGATCGTGCTCCTCCTTCACGTTATGGTGTACGTCTAGAAATGAAGGGGATCTATGTGTAGTTTATACTAAGCTGCCTACGAACCGCAGATTGATTTTTGAGGAGTTTTATTTCATTTCAGTAGTAGAATTCATCAACTTTCATCGTTACGATATGCCGAGTAGATAATTTTTTTTTTTTTGATAACTAAGTTTTCAAGGAAACCCGTAACTGACATTTTATTTTTATTAAAATGAATGAAAAGTTACACTACAAAAGCTCCAAATGAATTTTGCTGCGCTTCTTGGTATTTAGCTTTCACCGCCAAAAATCTTGACATAAGGATTACATATCTAAGCACAAATATATTGCATTGTATTACCAGCAATTGGAAAAAATTTATTCTCACTTAATATGTTATGCAATAGTCCGCGATGCAAAAAATTTAATGAAACAAAAATTGTTTGTTTGACATGTTTGACTGAGAACGAAAAATGAAGTTTATCCAACGCTGCAATTTCGTTTCATAAAAACGACAAAACATTCTGAATGAACTTTTTTGCGGCCTTCGAGAAAGTCCTGAATAACCGATATTTTTTGAATTTATTGGTAAAATTTCTTATTAAAGATACAAAAAAAAATATTTCTAATTTGCACGAAAGTCACCACTATATTGTACTTTATTCAACTTGTGATATTTAAACAAAACTTAAGATTTTCAAAAAAATAAATAAATAAATAAATAAAAATAAAATAATAAATAATACCCTTCAGATTCTAGGTTCTAATAATTTTTAATGCAGTGATCGCGAAACAGAAGGTTGGCTCATTGCAGTTAGACAATTGCTTCCAACGAATTCCTGATATGGACCGTGGGAAAGGAGATTTATTGTTGAGATCTGCTATAATATAGTCTTAACAGTAAGTGTACAAATCTTAAAAACTAAATTACAAACATGATAGCTCGACTTATTTAACTCTGAGCCCTTATCAAACTACGGCGCTCTCCTTAGAAGGCGGGAACATCTCTTCACTGCAGACGGGAATTTCTCGATGGGTTACATAAAGCATTAGCTAGCCAATTTGGATGATTTCTCAGCTTTGCTAAGAACTTCGTCCTGCTTCTTTCAATTACAGGCTGAACCAGTAAAATACCAAAGTCTTTATGAATATTTACATTACGAACGTACCAGTTACCATTTTGGGTCCCTGATTGGAATATTCACTTCTATTGGAGGCTTAAATTTATTTTGTGCTTTCCAGAGTGAGTATTTTTTTTAGCAGAATTTGGCTCTAGTTTTTCTATGTTTGCCTTGGCATTGTGATTTTCTGCTTGTTTCAGTGCACTTTTCAGCTTCCTTTCTGCTGCTTTCAACCGTAACTTTACTGCTGGAGAGCGATATTCCTCCCATTCTCTCCGCAAACGGCGTTTATTCTTTACTAAGTCTTCTATTTCCGTATTTTTTTTAGGATTTTTGGGC